AGAAGGTGCATATCAGTGGTTTAGCAACAATAATAAATAACATTAATAAAAGGAAAAAAAAAAGGAAAAAAGCTTTGGATATAAAAATCGCCTAAAACTACTATTAGCAAGTGAAACATCAAGTTACGGTGAAAAAACTAACCTTTGCATTTTCGGGGATTTTACAGACTGGACCAAATGCTTCTTAGGACAGTAGATTTATTTTCCTCACTTTCAAAAACATTTCAAGTGCTGACCCTTTTTCAAACATAAAACTGAAAAGCATTCTTCAAACTATTCTTCTTCAGTATTCATACTAAGCACGTATACGTGCATAGGTTTGTAAGTCCTCTTACAAGTGACTTTACTGCTTTTCCAGTGAACAACATAAACCAACCTATTTTTTATTTTTCCATTGGGTTAGAAGTACACACTTAGTTTCCCATTTCAACTGAGATGGCAATTTCTCAGCACACACTACCTTGACTTCCTCCAAACTGATGGACATACACTAAACCAGAAGTGGAAAACCACAATCCTATTGAATGCAGCCATTCAAAAATCTATGCTATGTACTTATTTTGTTGAGATAGTTCTTTTCTTTATGTATTTCTGTTCTTCTATAGTATTATCTTCAGGACCACAATAATTAAGACAGCTAAGAAACAGCTTTGCAAGTAATCATGACAGCTGGGAATTCAAAGCATGCCATAACTGGCAAAAGCATATTAACAGTCCTAAGCAGTCACCAGTACTATTCCACTCACTGTGGCCTCCAGCAAAGATAAAATACCTGAACTCTGAAATAAAAAGAGAATCACTATACCCAAGACATTCCTGTAACAGCAATTAAAGTAAAAATAAGACCTTTCTTTCTTTCTTTTTTCCTTCTTGGAGTTACTTGGTAGAGCCAGAATGTGGATTGGATACCAAACCGGTTGGATTAGGTATTCCTTCCTAAAAGAATCTCACCCAGTAGGTGACAGAAACACTGGCCTCTCCAAAGCCACTTTTTGTTCTCGATGCAGTATAATTAGAGTAAAAATTCATAAAAGGTTTTAAGAGAGTTTAATAAACTTCACATACTACTTCTAGAGACTACGAGGTCTCACTTGAGGTACTCACTAGGAAAGACTGCCATCCTAACCTCCATTTGCTGATGGCTATCAACAGGAGAAGCCTTCATTGAGAAGAGCAACTACTGAGCTTCCCACACGCACAGCAAATAGCGTACCTCATTCCTACAAGCCATAGGCTCCCTGTTGAAAAATGCAAGTGGCTAAGCTCTGGCTTGTAGTCAACAGTTTTACAAATTTGATTTACATCTGTTTCCTAAGCACCTGAAACCTGTCGATTTTCACACCACCAAGCTTTATACTATACAGTCCCTTTAAAAAGAACCAAACAGCTGTCCAGGAGCTTTTCCCACTTAGTCATCTGTCCAAGCTTAAACCCTGGGGAGCATTCAGATCAGTGTTATGCAGGATGCTACAGCAATTCTGTTACTGTGTCAAGTAAATAGTGTGGGAAGAAAAGCTCATTCTTACCAATCCAGTATTTCCTCACCCTCCTGCCCTGCCCTCCCTGCTCCGCCCCCCGCCCCCCAATATCCTCAGTCCTTTAGCCCAGCAAGAGATCTTGAACATGGAACATTTTTTAAAGATACAGCCAACATCTTAAAAACTCACTAAGAAACAAATATATATTATCTGCCATAAAATTGTTTACACGAAAAAAACTGTTACCTTTAATTCATGATAATTTATTGCTCTATCTTTGTCTGTATCAAACAACTCAAAGGCATCTTTAATTTCTTGCTTCTGTTCCTCAGTCAGTTCTCTTCTTTTCTTCTTTTTAGTTTTGTCTGCTGAAAGCTCATTCCTATATAAGAAGAAATTAAGTGTAATTGATTTCTACTGGGAAGATACCACTGTAGATAACATTTTCCACCAATTAGAAACTCACCATAATTGCACAGATCATTACCTTCTCTATTCAATCTTTTCCCAGCTTGTCCTCCCAGTTTAAAATAACACTTAAAATAGACAATTCCTTTGTGAAAGCTGAATGACACCTCCACTCCCCCACCCAAAATAAAATCCACACAGGTGTTCTGGTTAATAACAAAAAAAGAAGGTAGAAAAACTACCAGTTAAAAAGAATACTTGAGGTTACAAACTAGTTTAGCAGTTAAATGATACAACTCCTGAAAACACTTTGCTTCTAAACTGTTGCTTAGAAGAAAGAATTTTGAGGCAGACAGGCTGCTGGACACTTAACTAGGCCAGACAGCCAGGTTGTCTGGCTACTAAAGTGGGTGTTAGGTGCCACAAATCGGCTTTGCTGCCAGTAACAGTTCTCAGATAAATGGCATTTACGGATTTTTTTTTTAAATCCTTTAAAATCACACACATACACACTGTTCTAAAGACTTCTTGCTCTGTTTTGGTATATACAAAAGAGACAAGTCGTCCCCCCCAAGTCAGCAACTCTTGTTCAAAGACAGCCCTCTTCTCCTTAGCTAGTCTAGAAAAAAGATTAAGTTTTCAGGTAACAGACAGAAAATAAATGATTCATATATTGGGAACAACAGTTGAAAAAAATGACAAGGATGGCACTGATAGAAGATACTTTGGACCAAGCTAGTAAAGGGTAAAATTTGCTGTAACTGGGCGTTATTCACATCAATGAGATTGACTGCTGTATGCAGAGTAATTGCTTGGAAGGTGTCCATTTCAGAGCAAGAACTCTAAAAAAAAAAAAAAATGAGTAGATTTGAGGTAACAGGAAATATCAATAAGACTGTTACCGTACTCAAGGTACACTCCTGAAAGATGTGGGCATATGTGAAGCTCAGCAGCATACTGTCACTGTGATAAGCATGGCTAACTGCAGTGGTAAATCCCCTCCATTCTGTGATCATGAGGCCACATCAGATGTACTGAGTCCAGTTGTGGACACCCCAGTAAGAGAGAGATGTACAGAAAATGGACACAGTCACAGGCAGACAACCATCCCTGATGGCTGCAGCATGTCACGAATAAGAAGCTGAACGAGCTGGGTTCGGTAGGAGCAGGGTGAGTGGGGCAGAAGGACTAGGTGGGCAAGGGTTAAGGAGAGAGGATCTAAGCACTGTCCTTCACTATCTAGAGGGTTATTAGCAGAAGACAGCCACATGCTTCCCTCAGAGGAGCACAGTGAAAGGACAAGAGACAACAACTACAAAATGAGCGGAGAAACTGCAGCTGCATCTAAGTGGAAACATTTTCCCAGTGTGAGTATTTATGTGCTGAAATAGTTGCACTGGGAGACTGAGGAGTCTCCACGGTCAGAAATTTCTGGAACCCAGCTGGAAAAGGTGCTCAGCAACCTCATTCAGTTTTGAGTGAGACCTGCTCTGGGCAGAACGCTGGACTACATGACTTCCAGAAGGCCTTTCTATGCTGTCAAGAAAAGGCTTTTTACGCTCATTTGTTTATTTGCACCAGAGGCAAAATGCGTTCTGTGTCACCTACTGTACAATGCATAAAAATTACTGACAAGTGAAAAGAAAACTGCTTTTCAAGGATATTTATTTTCCAATCTCCTGTAAGAGTTGCTTTTTTTGTCTCCTTTGTTAAGGCTTTGCTAATTTTAATCAAAACCAAAGATTAAACACACAGCTGGGATTTAGCTTTCAACAACCACTGAAGCTACACCAGTAAAGATTCCAAATACAGACAAGAAAAGTGCAAGCTGCACAAGCAGGACCTGCCTCAGACCACAACGTCCTCAAAGAGTGAGAAATCCTTAGCAGACCAATTGGGACAGCATGATTTCACACAGGCTTTGGATTACTATAGCTTTTGGAAGGACTAAAATAACTCTGAGCTGGCTACATAATTAGGACTGGGAGAGCAGCTCAGATGCAGAGAGCCCACATTTCGTGAGCTGCGATAATGAAATCCATTTAAAAGCCTGAAAGCAGATTAACGTTGAACTCTTCTGGAAGAAGGAGCTAGCTACTCAAGCGTGTATTTAGCGGTCAGCACAAAATAATTTTTTCACGAGATGGAGCAATACTTAAATGCAAGTAGTTTAGTGCCACTTCTACAACCACTTTTACCACACGAAGCATGAAGTTCTCAGACTTGAAAACGAAGGATCGTGTAGGCCGTGCAACCATATTAATGATGCCTAAGGGCAAGGAGTTGCCAGGTACAGAATTCATAAGCCAGGCCCCTTTACACAAGTTACTGCATCGGAATTATAAAAAACCAAACAAACAAACAACGAAGCTCAACGGCCTAACTCAACGCCTACTAAAAGGCTTTTTGAGGGTACATTACTTCAGACTACCCAGAAGCGACCCTCTCAAAACCAGACGCACGGCCCCTACCCCCCTCGGTGAACAGACGGCTGCCGGGCCTGACCTGCCCCGCGACCCCCGCCGAAGGGATCAGACATAAGCGGCCGGGGGCTGCGGGGGACCTCCACCGGCGCTCGCCAGCGCCCAGGCCCCGGCCGCTGCCCGCCTCACCCCGCGTTCCGCC